CGAAAAACGAAATCCATTTCAAATGTCACTGACACATGCTAAGAAAGTATACATGCAATGAATATTCAAATCATGACAGAAAAGAACATTAAGAACAAGTGCACAAAGGAATCCAGAATCCAGATAGCAGACTAGTTGATTATGCCCATGCTGTCTCTGATATAAACTCAATTAGTATCCCTGTATAAACATTTGTATGCAGTTATGATCCAGTTAAAACAAGTAATAAAGAGCTGGCAGCCAGGCATGTACTTTGCGAACTATCCATTCGTAAACATTTGTATGCAATCGTCATCGGGTTGAAATGAGTATAACTAAGATCGGGCAACCAGTCATATTTTGCTTTGCTAAATTGGAAACAAGGATACATCTTAGCAAATAAGAAAAAGTACTGTGTAAGCTTAAGATGCCCAGAGGGAATGGCCAATGAAACTCAAGAGCTAGGATTCTACTTCAGGACATTTTTCAGAGTGATGCTTCTGATAATCATATTATACCTGGAGAATAATTTCTACCTGGAGAATAATTTTCTCTGGGGCCTGATAAGCATCCAAGAAGTGGCAAACATTGACGAAAGCCCACTGTTTACTGGCACTATCTTCACGTTTCAGATGATTCCACCCAAATTTAATGAGCTCTTTTCGGTGATGAACAAGATCATTCTGTATATATTTTAAAAGCAACGTAGCAAGCTGCAAAAGTTCAATCCTTAGGGGCTCATCGTATTCGGCACTTATCTGCAAGTATAGAAGGTTTTAGGATCTTTAAGCCACAAGGATAAAAATACAGCACAAAGGCTGTCTAATAGATTGCGCCATCTGAGTTAGAAAACACAAAGGAACCACCTCTTCTGGGGGATCTAAAAGCTTTTCCACAATTGTCTTTATGATAGTTTGGTCAATGACGTCCCAACTCTGGCCATTCTGAAATGCATGAGCCAGCATGGGAAGAATCAACATTTGCATAGAAACAACCAGGTGATCATGCCCTAGCTCCTTTGCTTGAAATAAATGCAAGAAATGTGAAAGAAGCGTTTTCTTCATTTGAGCAGGATAACCTTCAGCGACCTGCGGTCCAAAAGAACATAATTGAAGAAGCAAGGAAGACCATGATCCCAAAAAGATAAGTGCAAGAAACATATGCAGAAAATTTAAATGAGTATAACATGTAATAGCAGACATTTAATGTGTAACATACCTCAATGACATAGAACTCCTTCAAGAATGTGTAGTCAATACGAGTGTGCACTAGGAAGATTGATATCATGTCAAACAGCACACTGACTTCAGATTTGTCATGCTTCAAATAATTAAGGAAACATTTTACCAGCTTTTTACTTTCTTTGACCTGCATTTGAATATAAAGCACAAAAGTAAATCACAAAGAATATAAAACGAAGAAGTGTTTATCATGCAAATGCTGAAACATCATCATACAAAGCAAACAAGACCAAAGAATTCCAGAACCAACAGTCTACCAAAACTGCTGAACCAATATTTAATCCTTAGTGAGCTATGCATGATAAACCAGAAAAAGAACAAGTTGACCTCATAACCTGATACCAATATTTGACGCCTTCCACAGAAGAGTTCTGTAACTTCAAGAGTTCTGTAACTTCAAGGAATAATGATTGAAATTTTCTTCGGTCAATCAACTATTGCCACAAAAGTAGATTAAACAATAGCTCATGTACTTCGAAAACCCCAACTTGCAGAAGGAACTCACAAACATTTGGGATCGACTGATTGATTGAAAACCATGAGCTTCCTCAAAGCAAGAACTTAGTCAAAATTCTATCCAATGGAAAAAACCAAATTTCAATAATCAGGGCAAGTCAGATTCAGTTTGCCAAGAGAACTTCATAAAGCAGTCTTTTATGGTTCTAAAACTTGCCAAGGGGTAGAGAGTCAAGTTGCCAAGTCCCAATTCAACTTGGCAAGTTATAACACCATGGTTCAAACCCCAAGCATCCTCACACTTGAGTCAAGTTCCCACTAGACTGCCCTAATCTCACTAACTTTACTAAAGGGACATTGTCGCATGCCATCACAATCTCACCACTGACATTACAACACCCCCCTGCTTGGGTAGGAAGTAGGAACTCAACTCTCACAAGCTACCCTTGATATTACCACCCTCGCAAGAACTCCCTTCCAGAATATCCCAATAAAGGCGGCAATTACATTTGCCATGAGAATTTGTAATCTAGTTCATTCATGTCACACATATGAGTCAGTTGGACAATGTGATTAGCATATCGAAATATTAGAAATCTTTGTACGAAAAAGGGTCTCCAATGGCCAATAACAATGATGCAGGATTCAAAAACTTAGACGCAGACTGTGTGAACGTGGCCACAATGCTTTGACGTGGAAGCATGATGCATTATGTGACTGCATCTGATAACTATGATAGGTTTCTGACGCAGACAGTCATGGAAGAACTTAGCTACTTCAAAGTGTGAGAAACAAAGTGTTGTGGCAAGATACAGTGAGGAGGCAAAGCACAGGGGCCAGGTCGCTAGGACCGTAACTTCTACAATGTGAAAGTTGGTATGGCTC